TTTTGTAGATCACGGCCGTTAGCCAATCAAAATCGAGAATCATCCGTGACAAAATTGGTGCGGCAGCTATGTCCAATTGGTAAAAAGGCTCATTACATTAAATCACAGAATTTGTCTTAAACATATACAGAATTTAGTCTTAACCATAGAAAATCACTGACCCCCAAAATAGATAATGCATCACGATAATACAAAAAAGGAAGTTATATATACATATTACGTATTGAGAATGACAATTTTTAATTCAAATTCGAATTTTTAATTCATATTAGTTACACTAGACAATTAATATTGATACTTTAAGTAAAGTCGTTCTGGATTTATCCCTGAAATTTTCATGGGGCTCTGCTTGGCACTATGTTTTAATAGGGCACATGCTAGCACTTGCTTTTCATTGACCCATTTCCCATTTCCCATTCTACGTTTACACGAAAAAAAAAAAATTAAAAATATTTTCGTATAAATATAAATTGTAAAGTGAATTAATAGAAAAAGTTGATTAATTTACTCAAGAATTTCGGGAAGTATAAAAAAAATTTTTTTTTTTTTTATTCAGAACAACTTAAGGCATAAAGATTTAATTGACAGTAAAATATAGCTACCGGTATGATTATCGATAAGGAAAGTAATTCGACCAAATAAAATTATTTATATGCAAAAATGACCTAATTGACCTTAATGACTGGTCATTTACATCCCTGCGATGACGAAATATGGCTAATTTGTGTAACCATTTCAAGTTCAAAGCAAATCATTATGTCGATATAGCTCACATTTTTAATATCGTCCTTAATTTGGCTCATAGAAACTATTGCATTTGATTTGAAATAACTTCCTTATATGAATATATTGTATTGTAATTTGTATACCCAATTAAAGTTATTACTTTAACCAACGTTGTTTACATACAAGTTTTCATTTGCCAGGCTGATACGATATAAACCAGATAAAACTCTAATATGTGAAAAGATAGCACGCATGATTTTGACAACTTGCATAAAAAGAATTACGAACTCATGCATGAGAGCTATTCACATTATATAATGCAGATTCTCTTCAAATGTTCAAGCCGAAAATTTTTTATTCAAAGAAGGATAAGATTGCGTTATAATTAAATCATTATGATCAAATAATTACAACGATAAAAAAACTCTTCACTCTAAGTTTTTATGATTTCATTAACGTTATCAGATAACGATAAATTTTTCGGCTATCCCTGACTAAAGAAAGATTTGAGGAGATCTTGTACGAGTTTTCATTGCACATTCCCTTTTTTGGTTGATTCAATTATCGGCATATCGACATATTCGCGAGGCTTATCAAATTGTTCCTTATTTTTATTGCAAACAGAATAGGCGTGATTAAAAGGCATATATCATTTTATTGTATATTAATAATACACATCTCCGGATATTCATAAATTTTTGTTTGTTGCTCGAAAAGAAAGTTAAACCAAAATAACCTTAACATAACAATGATTTTAAAATTTAATACGAACATTTATAATTCTTTCTTTACTATTCGGATTTTGATCCTCATCATCCTCTTTTTTAAAGGATGTCAAGCATCACGAGAGTTTCATTTACAACAAGTTTTTTATCAAAACATGATTTACAATCATGAAACATTACGTGGAAGATTCCTTCACATAACTGGTTGTCCACCTTTGCCTTTGCATTTCTTTTATATGATCCAATGGTTTATCGTCTTACCTTCAGAAAAATTCCTTACTTTTTGGATTATATGAATAGATCTCCATACAGACCCATATTTTCTTGAATCAAGCGATCCAACATCTTTTTGTCATCGTTATTCGCCGAACCCAGTACTAAACATTGCTGGAAAATTTGGTATACTATCGGCCCCATGTGATTCACCTTACCCTTTAACGAATTCTACTTTTGAGTTTATGCGGACGAACTTTAGCGACATAGACTTTATCGTATATACTGGTGATTCGGTTAGGCATGATAAAGATAAAGCTTTTAAACGAACTCAAGAACAAGTTTTAGATACTCATAGAACAGTTGTGGAATATGTTCGAAAGTATTTTGATATATCAAGAATTAAATTTGTAAGTTTTTTTTTTTTAAAAAGAAATGTTTTACCCTATATCATATTTGATTAACGTTTTCCTTTTTTTTTCTTTTTTTAAATAAGATCCCAACACTTGGAAATAATGACGAATTTGGTACGTTTAACGTTAGTTTCCGTTTCATCATCATCGTCTTGCAACGGTTCGTTGTTAAAATCTTCTTTGTGTATAGAGCATAATCGATTATCTCAAGGTCCAAATGATTTGTTGGGAAATTTATCTCAAATCTGGGCTCCTTTAAATCTGAATTTAACTTCTGACTTTATAAAAGGAGGATACTTCCGTCAAGATATTCATTCCAAAATCTCTGTACTTAGTCTCAATTCCATGTATTTTTACAAAAAGAACACAATAGTACCTGACTGTAATGTAACAGATGGTCCCGGTGCATTACAATTGGAATGGTTTGAACGCGAATTAAAGAGTGCACGCCATGAAGGACGAAAGATTTATATTTCACAACACGTTCCCCCGCTGGATGACTCTAGTATGTGAACATAAAATGTTGAAAATTTTAAATTTGATGCATATGATTAATATTTTCATTTTATTTTGTGAAATATAGATGTGATAGCTTATTCACCAGCGTGCTTTGATGCATATGTACAGCTAATTGGCAAATACTCGGATATCATTTGTGGGCACTTCACAGGTATTGGTTTCTTTATAAAATTTTCATTCATATGCATTTTTATTCATAATCTATCATGTATATATCTTAGGACACACGGATAAAGATACATTATCGTTCGTTACTAGTGCCAGTAAAGATGAGGATGCATATTCAATATTTGTCCTAAACGAAACACACGTTTCAAATATAAGTTCAGTAGACGATGTTGTATTGGTTTTAACAAATGCTCCATCAATAAAACCAAGTAAGTTCAAAATACGAATAACATTATAAACATTAATGGTTTATGGAATCTCTACAATTCCGATATATTAAAGCATGACTAGGCCGATATACAGTCAATTAGGGATATTAATCGTCTTGTTTGACTTTATTCACTAATTGGTTTATGATAAATATACAAGAAAGTTGAATCGTCGATTAACATCTCTACAGCCATTTATATCAATTCCGGCACAGTAAAACTGGATTCAAGTTCAGAATCTTCCTGTATGAGTTTAACTGTGTTACAACAATCTGTTTGCTACATAATGTTATTCTGACAATTTAATTCAATATCTGGATAAGATTTGTCAGAATATTTAGATTTTAGAATTTTTCAAAACATGTAAACCCGATTTTAACCAATCATTTTTTCTAATTTTTTATAGCCCACAATCCAGCAATAAGACTATATGAATATTCAACTTTATATTGGAATATCGGTACTTTAAAAGATTACACACAGTATTTTGTAAATCTAACAGAAGCAAATGGGATTGGTGAAGCTATATGGAGAATTGAATATGTAGCTAGTGAAACTTATGGAATGAATTCTTTGGAAACTAAAGAGTGGACCAGAGTTTTAAACAAATTTAGAGTACCTGATAGTTATGCCTGGAAGTTATATGTTAAACACATTACAGTTAGTGGTCCTTAAAAAAAATATTGCTATACTAAATTATAAAATATATTAAAATAATATAATAGAAATGAACATTTTAAGTATAATTATAAATGATGGTGTACCATTATATCCCTCTATATTTATTTACATAATGTAACACATAACCACGTTATGGATGCCTGACGAAACTATTTTGCCGTTGACGAATTGACGAAACTATATGGTTCGTCAGGTCACGTGAGATTCGTCAGGCATAACCACGTTGCTAAAAAAAACTCAATCATTTGTAAATTTTGCAGATCAAGAAAAAAAAAACGCCTAAAAAATCGTGCTGCAAAATTTACAAAATTTTGCAAACCGCAATAAAGGGAATTCATTTGATTACAACTTCATATTTCGTAGTTTCAAGTTGGAATTCTTTATTTCATTCTTTATTTCGCTTGATTTTCCTTGTACTTTCTTCTAAGTAACAATTTGCGCATCTCCTTATGTTTATCTCTCAGAACGAAATTTATAAAATGCTAACATATATTCATTTGTTTTATTTTTCTGAGTTAGTCCATATGCTTTAAAGTTTACTATTCTTTAACTATAAAACATAATCTACAAACTTAACCGGTATTAAACATGTAAATATAATATATTAATATCCCGTAACATTAATGATTTATTGGGTTTGTGTAAAGTGATTTGGCAATTCGAAAGAGTGCGCATTTGAGTTTAGAATCGAATAGTGTCCTTTATTAATAATAAAAATGCTGTGGCAGACATACGTATATGTTACTACATAAAAATATTTACTACATCGTAAGAACGCACAGAACAACATAATTCAACTACAAATATTCCCTTGTGTCATAAAGGCAATTTATTCCCAAATCCTATATATGTATCTTCGCCCTCTTTTTTGATTTCACATTTCTTAATTTCATGTCCCATGTTCCAGCATTTTAGACAAGAATCTAAATAGTCCTTTGACGTTAAGATAAATTTTTTGAATCCGTGTCCATCATATACATGTGAAAGTTCAGCACAATTGGCTCAATATCATCTTGGCATATAGATCTATAATACGATGACTTGAAGAGGGGTTTTCACTTTCCGCGATACAAATGTAATATTCGGCCATCAACCGTTTTTGCTTGTTGCTTCAGTTTGAGATCGATTAAAATATGGAATATTCATTAGAAACCAAGAATTAGAAACCAACAGACAAAAGCCAACAAATTAGAGATCAACGAACAAGAGACCAATAAATTAGAGACCTATGGACAAGAGACCAATGAATTAGAGACCACCAAACCCCTTTGTTATTGTAAGTGTAAATAATGTCGTACTGACACTCACTTTATACCATATAGGAATAAAATTGTTTAATTGTATTCTTTACAGATTTGTCCCTATATTGTTTTTTGAGGAGATTCTTCATATAATTCTTGGTAATTTAGTAACATAGGAGTGATGTATTTAAGCATTTCTTTTGTATTATCTATTCTTTGAGGTGATTTTCATGAAATTCTTGTCTTACAAACTTTATTCATGTTGGATCTTCTTTTGTAAGAGCAATTTCTTCACTATAGTATAATTCTGTGTGCATCAGCTCATCAATTTGATTGCCTTATTATCAGT